CCCCAAAACCCCAAAACCCCAAAACCCCAAAACCCCTTGGTAGATTTTAATAATTGAAGTTTTATCAATATGGATTTTTGACAATCAATATTATCACTTTTACTAGGAGATGAACTCTCTATAATCTATGGGCTGTTGGTTAGAACGTCATGTCCTTCTTTGAAGCATTTGTTCTATACACAATTAATTGAATATTGAATAGAAAATGAGAAATTACCTTTTAGTAAGATGTCTTTCAGAGATTCCTGCAGATGCTCCCTTCACTCTGTGCCTTATTCTATAAAACCAAATTAATTTATATGAAATGTGCTGAAAATATTATGAAGAATAGAACTTACCCTGTCCTTGGTCTTTGGTGAAGAGGATTCTTAGGCTTAGCTTTACCTAGCAAAGAATTTTTCTTCTTTATCTTCTCAATCTTTGCATTAAATTCTGCTTCATAAGGATCTTGTAAAGGCCTCATACTCAACTTGCTATCCTTTTTATTTCTCTTATGAACCTTAGGACCTCCACCATAAATTTGGTAGAAGGCATTCCAAACACGAGGATTTACATCTTTATATTTGGCCACAGCTTCCTGACCCTCTTTGGGCTTTCTAACCAAAATATGATTGTTAATTTGGCCTGGATGGGGAACATAATTATTAATCAGTGATTCTTCATCAGTCTGGAGATTATATGCCTTCTTTTTCTGAGTGATGTAATGGTCCCAAAATATTAGCCATGATTCATTAATCACATATCAAACCTTATCCTTATAAGATGGCTTCTTCAATGAATTTATCAGTTCTTCCTCTGATTTCTGTCTCTCTTCTAGAAGTTTGAAGTCATCCAAACTTGCATATCTGTAATTTTTGAAGAACGATTCATAATACTCAATTGGACGCGGAGTCAAGCAACCAGAGCAAGATAAGCAATTAGTTATAGAACTGTTCTGGGTTTCACAATGGTGGCAATACCAGCATTTTGTGATATCAATGCTATCTTGGACAGCATTAAATTTATAAGGCTTCAACTCTATTGTGTAATTCACTGATGTATATTCAGCTCCAGAGGTTTCATTTTGAGATACTTCTGGCTCAAACATCAAAATCTCTTTTGGAGCATCAAAATCAGCAAGATTTACCTCATTCTTTAAGTTACTGAGCTCAATTCAGCTCTGGCAGTAATCACCTATTTTACCTTTGTCTTTGTCATTTATGAGATGCTCGACTTCAGCAAGATGCTTTCTCACTTGTTTGATAGTCTCAAAACAATCAAGTGATTTAAAATAGTCTTCAAATTTATCAAGATACTCTTTCTTGGCTTGCTGCCTTCTCTGCTCTAAAAGCTTTTGAAGGTTATCATAATGCTCTTCTATTTTCTGAAGGTTATCCATTTTAGATTTCTCTAGTTGAGCTTCAAGCACCTTCTCAGCAAATTTCATTTGTAAAGATGCTTGCTTGTTCTTTAGTCTTTGAGAGTTTAGACAAGTCTTTAACTGGTGAACAACTTCAGGAATTCTGGTCACATTTTTAGCCTCTTCGTTATTATCATTCTCACATTTACAGCAGAAGACTTCCATGGTATCCGGACAATATGAATGAACTGGAGCATCATGGTCAAGACATCTGTAATCCTATACCAAAATCAGGCTGAGCAATTAAAGATAGATAAATTTTCCCTAAGTTTACCTTAAATATTTCAATATTAAGTTTCTTTGATAAATACTCAGATCCAGGGTTTTCTGGCAAATAATGACTTCTTTTCAGAAAAGTCAGATTAATCTCTAAATCTGAAAGAGCTGTGAACTTGTTGTCTTCCTTGCAAATACAGCAATTCATATTACCATTCTTCACTAGTTGTCCAATGCATTCTTTGCAGTAGCTATGTCCACATTGTATTATCCTAGATAGAGTATTATGTTATAGCTTTTTCAAAAATCTTTAGCACAATTTAGAGATATCCCTATTTCAATGTTTTTAGTTTAAAAATAAACGAAGCGTAGATTTTCAGTGAAAAACTCGAAAAATAACCTGATATGATTGAAGTTTAGGCTAAAAACATATTCCTTAACTGGATAGCTCGGTTCTTCACAATTTTGTAACCTTAAATGAACAAAATTCTGGCTAAATTCCATTATCTCAAGATTAGAGCAAAATTTTCATTACAAACAGCTTATTTAAGTGCAAATCATCACGTGGTAGTATTATAAAGCGAACTTACAGTGGAACCAAGGTCATAGACCAGTCTCTCAAGCAAATGGGTCATTCCATTATTGACAAAAGATTTCTTAAATATTCTTTAATTAATATGTTCAATATTTTTCTTCTATTTAGGGGTTTTGGGGTTTTGGGGTTTTGGGGTTTTGGGG